CTTTTCTGACACTGCCTTTCATTGGCATATTTTCCCATGAAATTTTTCCATCTGCTATCAATTTCATCGCAAATGTCATGAAATCCTACAGAAGAAGCCTGGTTCCCACTGACCTGGTGGGCAGCCACATAAACCTGAAATCTCTTCTTAGTGCATTTTTATGAATAACCTTGAAATGAAACATTGTTGATATGTCCTTTGCTTTCCAGTCCAGTATTGAGCTCTGTGGAACATGAAGAGCTGTGGAACTGTCCCCTACTGGACTCCACCCCTTCAGAGAATTGTCACAATATTAAAGCATGTGATACAGACACCAGGCCGTGACATTGAGAAGCTGAACAGAGAGACAGCGCGAACTTTAATTAGGTTGGTATTGACCTTATACCTCTTTATAAATTTTCTTGTGTCTGTTTCACTTGGAAAATATTTTTAAATGTGTTATTTTATGTGGGTTCTTTTTTTAAAAAAGATATTATTTGTTAATTTTTAGAGAGAGGGGAAGGGAGTAAGAGAGAGAGAGAAACATTAATGTGTGAGAGAAACATCAATCGGTTGCCTCTTATATGCACCCCAACCGGGGACCAAACCCACAACCCAAGTATGTGCCCTGACCAGGAATCGAACCTGTGACCTTTCACTTGGAAGGACCATGCTCGACCAACTGAGCTATACCTGTCAGGGCTATGTGGGTTCTTTATGTTCTTATAGCTCCTTCTTTGTGTGCTCAGGACATAATTCAAGTATTGTTAATTAGTTCCTCAAGGACATATCTTTAAAGGATAATAATAATAATAATCAAGAATTTAAAAAATGAGGGCAAAGAATTTGATGGTATGGGAAAAGCAAGAGTGTTATTATTACAGTGTGCAAATACAAAAATTCAGTGCCAAGGAGAGTGTGTGAGCTTACACTAACGTCACTTTTGCTATTATAAATGATGCATTCACGTGTTCATATAGCAGTCAACACACAATTGTGCTGGGTTCAAACTTGATGGGCTCACCCACTGAGCAGTGAGAAGACAGTGCATGACAGTGGTTGCATGCCTCTTGAACCGGCACATCCTTTTGGGAAACCAAACAAAAACACCTGCCAAGCAGAATCTGAACTTACACCCCATGGCTGGTTTCACATACATGAGCATGTTGCTCATATGAGTTATTTTGTGGTGGAGAGCCAAGCAGCATGCTATCTTTCCTTCTCCTCTTTCCCTTCCCGCTCCTTCTTCTCCTCCTTCTCACCCCCACCCCTTCTTCTTCCTCTCCTCCTCCTTCTCCTCTTCCTGGTTTAATGCTTTAGCACCAAAGAGCAGAAAAGGTTACTTATAAAGGGAAGACTCAAAATGACTAGTGAATCTAAACATATTGGGTTGACCAAAAAGTTTGTTTAGTTTTTTTCCCATTTTATGCCTCTAATGGTGCATAGTTGCATTTAACTTCATTTGAAACAGTTGTGTTAGACTGTTTGTGGCAGATGTCATATCAACATGCATATTAAAAAAAATCAAAAGTTGTGAATTTTTATGCAGCCATTTTTAATATTGAAAATGGGAGAAGGTACATAATATTTTTGGTGTATTAAGCTTTATTATTTCAAGAAAGGTGAAACGCAACTGAAACACAAAAAAAGATCTGTGCAGTGTATATGGAGAAGGTGCTGTGACAGATCAAATGTGTCAAAAGTGGTTTGCAAAGTTTCTTGGTACTATTGACATTTTGCCCAAATAATTCTTTGCTGTGGGGCTGTCTTATGCATTGGAAAATGTTTAGCAGCACCCTGGCCTCTCTACCCGCTAGAAGTCAATAGCAGGATATGGCCAGCATACTCAAAATATCCATACCAGTCAAGTTATTGGTAAAAATGAAAAAAATGTGTCTTCTATTTTATGGGAAAAAACTAAATGGATTTTTCAGCCAACCCAGTGTAGGGCTTTTAGGATCACAAGGCAAGGGTGTCTGTGATTGCTTCTCAGGCATATTGAAGAAAATAATGTCCTCTTGAGCTGTGCTGTTTTCAGTCTGACAGAGTATTTGCAAATTCCTTCTATTTACCTAAATATTCCCCTAGGCTCCTTGCCAAAGCACTTAACCAAGTTGGGTTTTTTCCCTTGCTTTTTTGCATAGTCATTGTGTTTCTACTCCATGGAAATTTCTGCTTTGATGGTTTTGTTTAAATAGCACAGTGTTGGGTTTTATAATCTGGATTGGTTACTTCATTACCATGATCTAAGCTTATATTTACTCAGCTTTTATTTACTCTATACTGCTGTATTGTGAAATGACAAGCCCTCTGAGGGAAATGCTAAAAAATAAAAAGTGTGGCTCTTGAGATATCTAACCATGCCATGTCGCATGGAAGGTAAACTGAACTTTCAGCAAGCAGCCTATTAAGCATTGAACTGTGCTCAGTGCATTGTCCTTCATCCTACAGCTTCTCCGGAAACTCACCAGCTCAGTGGGAGACACAGAAGCTAATCTCTGCAGATTGTGAGAACTCAGTAATAAAAAATAATAGGAAGAAACTAGTCTGAATGTCAGGAGATCTAGGATCTAACTCAGACTTTATCACTAACTAGCTAGCTGGCAAATCACACCCTGTCTGGTATGTACCGTATTCATTATACTCTCGGAGGGCAACCCGATTTGGCATCTGGAAGTCTGGATGCCTTCTAGCTCTGTAACTCGGGAAGGCTTGACAGGAGAGCCGAGAACCTCTGTGGAGCACAGAATTAGTTCTTAGAAGGCACATGAAGTCACCCGCAGGGTGCAACCTAATGAGAGGCAGTAGTGTGCCCTGGAAGAAATGCCAACATAAAAAGAATAAAACTGAGGTCTTATGCAGGGAAGCCTCAGAATCTCAGTTGTCTACAAGCCCATATTTCTGACTAGACTTACAGCTGCTTTGGGCAAGCAAATCAGGCTTGTGCTCTGTTCCCAACTGGCCGCTATTGCTTGAGACAGGAAGCTGCTCAGTGAGTGTTGGTTGAGAAAGTTTATGTGAAACTTCCAAAACAGAGGAAATATATTACATGTCAGCCTGAAACACAGTTCTAAGAAGAAAATAAATAAATAAATAAATAAATATCCTCTGGAACATTTAAACTCTTTGACACATAAAAATTTAAGTTTCATATAACTTTTCAAAAAATATAACTATTACACGAAGACAAATACATTTTTTTGCTAAAAACAATCAACAACCACAAAATCTTGCAAAAAATATTTAACAGTATTTTCTGAACAGGTGTCTGGTGACTACATGTGATAGAAATTGTTCTACACGAAGTCTAGGCAATTGAATCTTTTCTTTTCAATGACTCCTCTGCTTTCATCCTCACATCACTGATGGAACCTGCAGGAGGCCCTTGCTGAACTTGCCAGGTTTTTGTGTGAGGAGCTGTCTTTGGCTCCTCCCGTCTATGTGCTGCTGTCCCCGCAGGGAAGAGAGCAGTGGTTCTCAGCCAGAGGTGATTTGGCCTCTTCTTGCTGGGAGGGTGGGGGCAGGGCACTGTGCTACTGGCATTTCATGGGTACAGGTCAGGGATGCTACTAAGTAAATATCCTCCAGTGCTCCCCCACAACAAAAAGGTATTTGTCAGTGGTGCAGAGAAACCTCAGAACAGAGCAAGAGCTGTCAGACTTCTTTAGTTGGCCCCTGCCAAATGTTATGTCTTAAATTTTACAGCAAACCAGAGCACACAATCACATATGTACACTCACACACAACATAAGTGTAACTAAAATTAAAATTTTATCAAAAAATACTTAGCCTGCCCTAGCTAGTGTGGTTCAGTGGCTTGAGTGCTGGCCTGTGGACCAAAAGGTTGTTGGTTCGATTCCCAGTCAGGGCACATGCTTGGGTTTCAGGCTAGGTTCCCCAGTTGGGGGCATGTGAGAGGCAAACAATTGATGTATCTCTCACATAATGATGTTTCCTTCTCTTTCTCCCTCCCTCCCCCTCTCCCTTGCTTTATTTAAAAGCAAATAAATAAAATCTTTTTTAAAATGCTTAGCCTTACTACATACGATACTCTGATATTTACTATTATATTGCAAGCGAAATGCTAGTCAGAATCCACTGTGTTGATTTAGACTGAGGGTCACAATCCATAGTTAATACACACTGACATAGACAAGCTCCAAGACTTTGGTGTCCAATGAAACTGTTTGTTTTTACGTGTGCTTAAATGATAGGTGTTCCACTTATTTTAGGCTAGTTGCTTAACCTCTGTAGACATCAGAACCCCCAACTGTAAACTTAATAATAATAATAATAATAACAAGAATAATAACAAGATCTACCTCAAGTCATTTTTATGAAGATGAAATGAGGATAAAAACAAGAAAATGCCCATTATGTGGTAGACACTTAGCATATTCGTTCCTTTCCATATACTATAAAGGTAATGTTCTAACATCCCTTCTTCTAAAAGGAAAATAAAATTCATCCAGCAGCAGAAAAATAAAGCATTCTACTAGAGAAGAGGAATGAGCATTCTCTTCTGTGCAGAGAATGTAAAAGGTTTTGGTGATAGTCAGGTTAGGACTAAGCCCCAGTTCAAGTCTGAACGAGCGCAGCATGGCAGTCAGAGTGAGGGGTGACTCTGCTCCCTGCTCCTCCTCCCTGTCATGACCTGACGTCCTCTGGTTTCAAGGCCCCTCACAGGCCCCCTGGACCTGTGTGGGGTCCAGGCTGCTCTATTTTATCCTCAGAGTGAGGAAAATGGCAGGCTGGGACTCACCTGGTGCAATCTCACACAGATGGCCACTATTGGGTGAGAATACGGAGCGCGAAGACCTCCGTGGGACTTTGCCAACCCAGCCATGAAGAAGGCAGACGCTTCATTCTTCTGTTTGAATGAACATCATAAAATACACTTTGGTTCTGTGGTCTTGTTAGTTCGTTCGTTCATTCATTCATTCATTCATTCATTCATCCATTCATTCATTCATCCATTCATCCATTCATCCATCCATCCATCCATTCATTTTACAGAAACCATGGCGGGAAAGCCCAAGCTGCACTACTTCAATGGACGAGGCCGTATGGAGCCCATCCGCTGGCTCCTGGCTGCAGCTGGAGTCGAGGTCAGTCCTGGGTTCTGCCAGTTTAAGCTGGATCTGAAATTGTATCAAAGTACTTTCTCACATAAGCTGGGAGACTTCCATACTAGATGGTCTGTAAATGGTTTTGCCTTAAATAGCAATATTATGTATATAAAAGAATTGGACTATTTTATCAATAAAGATTAAAAGTAAATCCTGCCCATGTAAGAGTACAGAAAAATTAAAAGAAATTTTTAAAGGAAACAAAAGAAACAGCAGCTAATCATAATTCATAAACCTTATTTTGATTTGAATTTCAATAAACAATAAAATATTTATGACTTTTATACAATTAGCTGATTATTGATTGAATATTAGATGATATTAAAATTATTGTTAATTTTTTAGTTGTCACTTTAGTGTGATATTATGGTTTTATTTATTTATTTATAAGGATTTTATTTATTTCTTTTCAGAGAGAGGGGAAGGGAGGCAGAAAGAGAGGGAGAGAAACATTGATTGGTTGCCTCTCACACGCCCCCAACTGGGGACCTGGCTGGAAACCCAGGCCTGTGCCCTGACTGGGAATCTAACTGGTGAAACCACAGGCCAGCACTCAACCCAATGAACCACACCAACCAGGCCTTGTGGTTATTTTTAAAAATAGTTCTTATGTTATAGAAATACACATTGAAGTATTTAAGTATGATATGATGTTTTATATGGGATTTATTTCAAATTTTCCCAAGATGGGGAGAGTGGGTGGGCATACAGAAGACACAAGATTGGCTTGAGTGATAATTATTGAAGCTGGGTGTTGGATACAAAGAGGATCTTTGTACTTCTATTTTTTGTACAAGCTAGAAATTCCCATAATAAAAAGATAAAAATACACAATATTAGAATACAATGTAATTAAAATTCAGATACAATAGCAAATATGGGGAGGAGCAGACTGTAAGAAACTGCCTGTTAAAGACTCAATACACACACTCAGCAGCAAATCCATTGGGCAGCCTCAAGTTCCAGGTTCTGTGGTAGGTCCTGGGGACCCAGGGGTGAGGGAGACAGACAAGGCCCCTGCACTCAGGAAGCTTACATTCCAGGCAGGATGTAGACAAGTACATGGGTGATTCAAAGGAGGGATGGCAGCACCTAGGACCACACCTGCGCCCTCTAGAGGAGTCAATGAGAAAATCCTCCCAGTCCAGAACAGAGAGACCCAGCATCTCTGAGGAGCATCTTCCTGGGGAGGGAGTCATGGATGAACTCAGGAGACCTTGTCTGTCACAGTAGAGCAGTACAAGAGGGGCTCAGGTGAGGTGGTCTTGAGTGACGGGCACTTCCAGTGCGCTCCCTTCATGTGCTATCCCTCCAGAGTCACGTGTGTGCCTAAGCCTTGGATTATATGTACTTTCTGGATTGCTTAGTGAGTGCATAGGACTTCATCTGGCCCTTTAGTAATTTCATGAAGAAATGAGCACACACACACAAATACAAATAGTGCCATCCAGCTTTTCTTCTTCTCTTCATAAACCAATAACCCACAGTTTCACTATGGTGCAGACTTCAGCTTTGGGGTTTGGGGACGTGTTCAGGGCCTCTGGGCAGGATGAGTTCAGCACAGGAGGGTGGGTCAGAGTGAGGTGGAGAGCACCCCAGGCTGCCTCTCCTGCGTCCCAGCTCGACTGGGGAGGGTGTGGGGCTACGACTTATCAGAAGCTCTCCATCAGGACTTCTGGGTTCTCTGTGCCAAAAGCTGACCTTTCCGCTCCTATTTTTCCATCTCCATCGGCCTCACAAGCAACATCGCACCAGCCAACCCTTTCCTACCCTGGCCACCCTTCCCTAGTGACCACCCATCATTCCTTGTTTATCTTGAACTAGGAGCTTTATAAATTGCTGCACAAGTAACTCATTCTCTATATGGTTTCTTGCTATGGAATTATGTGGATCCATAAGACAGTGTTCCTCTGAGAAAGTTAGAAACCAAAAATTCCAAAACTTTTACCATAAAGTACCTCTTTCAAACTACAAAATAAAATGGCAGCAGAGGCCTCTGGTGGCAGCGTCTCAGATGGTCATTGCCCCACACTGAGGCGCACACACTGCCCTGTCTCACGTGGAGACAAAGGCTTTCCCGAGATGTTAAAACTCCATAACTAGCAGAACTTTGCAGTCCCTTCCTTCGAATAACACTCTCCTCCCCAATCACGACCTCATCACTGACAGAGAGAAGGGCAGGGTGGAGGTGAATGGAACCTCCAAAGAGGAGCAGTTATGTGCTGCGACCCACACTCTGTTCCTGGTGGCTCTTACCCAGATTCACAAATGGCCGGGATGGCACTGCTCCATGTGCCTGCCAAACTCTGAGAGCTTACCTCCTCCACGTTCTGTACCAGACAGAGGTCATTCAAGGCTGAGAGTCCTATAATGCTAAAGAGTAACAAGAACTCCTTTACTGTTTCTGCTTTCCAGTTTGAAGAGAAGTTTTTGGAAACTCCGGAAGACTTGGAAAAGTTAAGGAACGGTAAGAGGAAGTGTCTAAACTGCTCTGGTGAGGGTGTCTGTAAAGTCCATAATGAGGTTTGAACACTAGGCATTGCCTATGTGCGTGCACAGTGGAGCCAGGTGGGGTGTGTGGAGAGGACGAAAAGTGGTTCCAAGTGTAAGGAGTAGGGCTCTTTGAGCAGGTCTTACAACTTACTCAGGGCTAGGGCTTGGACTCTGAGTGTTTGCTAGCTGAACCATCTCCGGTCCTGGAATGCCCCTTCTTTGCTTCTCCCACTTTTCTACACTGTGAGTGAACTGCACCAGTTCAGGACCCCACACAGTCTGCCTGTCCACAGGCACTCAGACATGCATCAGGGTGACAAGAGCAGACACAGGCACAGCAGTACCTTGAGCCCTTTCTCTGACAGGTTTGACAAGGTAATATCCCAGCAGTATTGCAAATATCAAAGTACAGGGAGATAAACTCCTGCATAAAAATAGCTCCCAAACCCACCTTAAATGCCATGAACACTGTGAGAGTTACTTCCGGAACTCCCCATTTGAAATGTCATCTGGCTGGCAGCCTGCTGCAGTCTGTCGCCAACTTCTTCCTAAATTATCCATGGGAAAAATCGACATGAAATAACAAGGGATCTACTAGATATGTGATGGGAAATAATAAATTAAAAAGTAAAAGACAGATTGATAAGAAAAAGAAGGACTATAAAAAACTAAAAACAAAATGCTATCCTGTTAAAGTGGTACCAGATAATTTCAACAAACATATTTTCATCCTACAAGAGTGTGTGCTCTATGAAGCATTTCACTCTACTTTTTCTTTTTCTTTCTAAAGATGGGTATCTGCTGTTCCAGCAAGTGCCAATGGTCGAAATCGATGGGATGAAGCTGGTGCAGACCAGAACCATCCTCAACTACATTGCCGCCAAACACAACCTCCATGGGAAAGACATGAAGGAGAGAGCCCTGTATGGTACTTTTTATGTTTCCCCCCTCAACAATGAATAGGAACTGTTCAGATTCTTCTGTGAATGAGCAGGTTGTGTCAGGGATCATGACCAGCAGCAGCACGGGCCTTGGAGGCACAGACTGAGGTCCAGTCCAGCAGGGAGCATGAGGATGAGGGATCCGCCTGAGGCGGAGTCAGGCAAGTGGGAGCATGGGAGAAGCCTCAGTCCACGGCACAGCTCAGGGGAGTGACAGAGGTTTCCAAACACTGATGAACTAGGAAACCAGGAGGATGGTGCAGCCTGGACTCCAGGTGCTCAGGCTTTAGGATGATAAGGCTGGGGAAGGGAAGATCCAAAGGAGTGAATTTTCAAGTTCCAGAAATTACTAGAATACTTACTGGGAGTCTAACCTATCAGCTAGTTGTGTGGACTGGCCCCTTGACAAGGGGGAGCAGAGGCTGGTCCTCCAGAGGCTGGGTCACCTTGCACATTTGGAGACAGAACTGAAGCAGCCAGATTCATTCCATACAACCACATCTGGGGGTGGGGTGGGGGGTTCTCCTTCCCATGGTGATGGGACCACATGATTGAAACTAAAGTCTTGTGAGGAACTGTTGGCCGTTACTCAGGAAGTTCAACATAGAGTTACCATATGTTAGCACCTCCACTAGTAGGAATGTACCCAAGAGAATAAAAAACACATACACACTAAAACTGGTACCGTTGCTTCACAAACCTCCTCAGGAGCCCTCACATGAGATCTGACACTGGCCCTAGTACCTGGAGGGCAGGGAGAGGCTGAAGAGCAAGGCAGACCAGTCCGTATTGGTTGGTGGTGGGTTTAGTAAACAAGAGAACTTAGTTATGAGGCCTCCCTTGGGTGACCCACAAGATGACTAGCTTTCTGAACCCACTTTCCAGAATCTTAAGAGGTTATAGAGAGGCCTTAACTGTGTCACGTACCCAGTCCAGATGATCTTGTCACTATATTCCTTTTTCAAGGCTGTGTCCTTGGCCAGCTTCTAGCTGGAAAAGACACGTGGAGAGCACCTTCTAAGCCCAGGGGAGGGAGTGGGCACCTCCAGTTGCCTCAGTTCAGCTTGCAGGTCAAATGACATCTACATCTTGATGCCCTGCCCCAATATGCACACAAACGTTCATGGAAGCATTGCTCATGATATTCAAAAAGTGGAAGCAGCAAACAATAGTCATCAACTGATGAGTGGGTGAACAAAGGGTGGTATACGTACACAATCACATGTAATTCAGGCATAGAGAGGAATAAAACCCTGATGCATGTGACAACATGAATGAACTTTGAAAATATTATCCAAAATGAAAGAAACCTCACACAAAAGGCCATGTAGAATGATTCCACACCTATAAAATGTCCAGATATTTAAACCCGCATAAACAGTGAGTGGCTGTGTAATTGCTGGGGCAGGAGTTTAAGGGACATGGGGAATGACAGCCAAGGGCACAGGATCTTCTTTGCGTGTGATAGAAGGGTTTTGGAATTGGAATGTGGTGATTTCAGAATGTACTAAAAGCTACTGAACACTACATTTTAAAGAGTGATAATCATGGTTTGTGAATATAGTATTTCAATAAAACTGATATATTTATAAGTATTGCAGAAAACCCAATTTGGAACAAAAGTAAGTAAAAGTTCTCTATAATAGGCAATGATTGGAGTTATATAAAGAATTGCACCAGTTCTGGCCAGTGTGACTCAGTGGGTGCAGTGTTGTCCCATAACCAAAATGTTGTGAGTTCGATTCCCAGTCAGGGCATATACGTAAGTTGTGGGTTCATCCCTTGTTCCAATCCAGATCCTCAGTCTGGGTGCATATGGAGGCAACCAACTGATGCTTGCATCCATGTTTCTTCCTCTCCCTCTCTCTCTTTCTCTTTAAAAAAGCAAATAAAAATGTCCTCTCATGAGGATATTAAAAAAAAAGAATTGCACCAGTTCAGGGCAATTTTAGGGGGAATCTGGAGCAGTGCAAACACAGCCAGAGCTCAGAACCAGTACACGGGGAGGGCTGTGGAACGGTGTTCTGGGGGAGGTAGTGGGAAGAACTGCTAACACTGGGCATATAAATGGCCTGGCGATGCAACAGGATGAGAGAGGGAGAGAGACATGACGGAGGTGGCTCTGCCAGGGACTCTCTGGAGATTACTCAGCTGGCAGGTCTTTAGCATTGAGTCACACTGAGTGAGTCCCAGAAGAAACCACAGCAGGCGTGGCAAACCCTAGGTCCAGTCTCAGTAGTTACTTGCAGTGATCCCACCAGTTTCTCTGTGCCCGTGACTCTGGACACCTCACTGCTGTTCTCTGGCCCTATATCTGGGCATGTGTATAACAAAAGTTTTAGACGTGTATACCTACCTTGATATGAAATGTTGAAGTTAAGTGAAAATTGTAGTTGAATGAGTGGCATGTGAAAATGCACCCAGTGGAAGTGGTTTACCTTGCACCTCCTGATGCCCCTGACTTAAAGAGTAATTTGTAAGTCGGGCGACAATTGACAATTGGGTCATTTTTGTCTTTCAGGGTTGATATGTATTCAGAAGGTGTAGCAGATTTGTATGAAATGATCTTGCTTCTTCCACTGTGCCCACCTGATCAAAAGGGTGCCAAGATGACCCAGATCAAAGAGAAAACAACAAACCGTTATTTCCCTGCCTTTGAAAAAGTAGGTGGGCTGTTCAGCATTTGGTGCACTGAGATGAGAGAGGACAAAGAGAAATCATGCCTGGGCAGGCCTGGGGCATTGACCTTGGCTTCCCGAGAGCCCTCCTGAACACTGATGTAGCTAGTGCCCTGGCCCCCTGGGCATGTTACAGAAATCAGAAATCAGAAATCAGCTGTGTGTGTGTGGGTGTGTCTATTACACCCAAGCGATAATCTTCCAGGAACATTTCCATTGGCTGGGACCCAGTTTAGAGCTGTGTATGTGATGGCATTCCATGTCATGGTCAGAGTGTGGGCTGTGGGAGGCTGTGAGAGCCACACCAGCAATGGAGGAGACCCCGCAGAGACCCACTGCACAGGGGCTTTTCATCCAAGAGGAGTTCAATGAAAGCCGTTGGTCAGAAAGTGTTCTGACAGCACGTGAGGGAGACAGGAGACCAGCTGCCCAGCAGGAGAACAGGCTAGTGTTTCAGAGAAGGGAGAGATGCATGTCAACAAGGTGGGGGTGGGGTGGGGGTGGCCAGGAGGAGACAGCTGGAGAGATGCTAAGGAACAAATAATGTACAAATTTTGTGGACATGGATCTCAGATTTTTGAGGAAAGTCATGCAAAGCTAAGAAAAGATTCTTATCATTATATGTAATACATCTTAGTTAATGCTTCTCTTTGAAGATAAAAGGAAAATATTTCAAGATCAAAACACTCTGAAATCATGCTAAATAAAAGTCATGAAAAAAGTTGTAAGAGATCCAGGAAGCTTACATGTAAATAAAAAATTAATACTGACACCCTCATTTTTTAAAGCACTAAATCATTCATTCACTGAGCAAATGTTAATTCATTGCTTATGTGTCTGATTCTACTCAACAAGCAATGAATTTTATACTTACCAGAAAATATACTGTCCTGGCCATTGTGGTGCTAAGAGTTTAGGTACATTTCACATGATGGAGAGCTAAAGGACATAGCAATTTAGGCCCATCTATACTTTGAAAACTATATTATACTATACTATATTATAATAACATTACTATACTGTACTATACTATACTATAGTAACTATAATACTACACTATACTTTGTTACTATACTATAGTCACACGGGGCTCTTTGTAAAGAATGTAAAATGCACATGACAATATAGCATTTGATGTTTACGTATATTCATTAATTATATATCCATTCTGCTGTATGCATATATAATCTGAAAGCATATTTGCCCAAATGTTATTATCTTTAGTTGGTGGTGCCATATGTGTTTTTTCTCTATGATTTGCATTTTGCTGCAATAATTTTTAATCAGCATCACATATTTCTCCAATATTTAAGCATGAGAACCTCAAACACAAAAGAGCTGAAAAAGATTTACAATAAACTCATGTATACCAACACCTTGTTTAAAAAATTAACATTTTATAATTATGTTTGATTAATCATATATATCTCCCAATCCCTTGCTTTTCTAATCAAACATTATTTTTTATGCATTTAAAAGTAGTTCCAGACCAGTGCAGTCACCCCTAGGCAGTTCTGCGTATGGTTTATTATGTATTCCACAACTGTTATTGACAGAGAAAAGTGGGTTAGCAATCAGAGACAATGCTGTAAGGGAGATGGTGAGTTCAAGTTGACCCAGGTTTACATCAAGTCCCAGAGAGAGAGACCAGGAAATGAGGGGAGGAGACAGAGGAGAAATGCAGATTCTGAAATAGTCCGCTCAGGATTGAAGAAGGATGTCATGGAGATGGCGACTTTGTCCAAGGGAGGGAGAGACAGGACAGCATGGAGAGCCATCCATGTCCTGATATTGCAGAGCGTCGGGGTCACCAGGGCGTGTGGCACAGAGAGACATGGTGCAGCCACAGCTAGCCCTGGGCCAGTAGAAGATGCACACGGGAGCCCAGTGACGTGGGAATGGGAATAACCAGTAGCTTGTGCTTTAAGTGAAGAGAGGAAAGAACAGCAGAGCCCTGCTTCTCTCTGTCTCACTGAACCAGGGCCAGTGAATGTGCTCTCATGCCCCCACCAGCCCAGTGAGGTAGCAGAGGCAAGAAGTTGGGCTGGAGGACCTGGGCAGGAGCAGTGACCCATGTGATTGTGCTTGTGTTCATAATCTGATCCCTCCAATTCATCAGGTGCTCAAGAGCCATGGACAAGACTACCTGGTAGGCAACAGGGTGAGCAAGGCTGACATTCACCTGGTTGAACTGATCTACACTGTTGAAGAGATTGACCCCAGCCTTCTGGCCAACTTCCCTCTGCTGAAGGTAACCTCTGTCACAGCCCTCAGAGGGAAGGCCTGCATCTCCCGTCTTGGAGTCTAGTATTTGGACACTTGGGCTGGTGATGTTATGACCCACATCACTGCCTGCAGGTCTCCAAAAATTTGCTCATAGGCCCAGGTCTGAGTCATGGAAAAGAATCTTGTTTTGCCAAGGGAACTGGAGGTGGATGCTACCCCAAGGAGAACAGTTTGTCTTTCACAATGAGACGGACCCAGGACTTGGCATTTCTGTCCTCGGCTCCTGTCCCATTGCAGCATCTGTCTCATTTCCTCTGGATTCTCTTTCTCCCAGATGTGTCCTGTCTATGTCACCTGAGTCTGTGTGAGCAGGTGTCCTTCCTCTGAGTTCCTTCCCTCAGCTCCTCCTCCTTCTCTCAGACACTGTGTTTCTCTCCGCACTGCCCTCTCTCTCCCTGTTTCTCTCTCTCAGAGGGCAAGCTAGTTTTGACCATCCCTGTGGTTTTCCTTTTATATTTCCTTTTATATATATATATATATAAAAATATGGCTTTTTTATTTTATATCTTCAGTACTGCCTAACTTTCTTATATCTTCATTTTTTCCAGTTTGGAGCCTTTATCTGTGTTGCTCTTCCTTGTATGAACAAGAGCAATGAATCCACAGGATTTCCCTGTAGGGAGGGAGATGGGGAAGACTGAGAACTGAATAAAATCTTCACCGTGTCTCCGGGGAGAGTGCTGTTGAGCTGTGTTCTCTTCCTCTCATCCTCCTGTCTTGCTGGCTGTCTGTTTGCCAGCCTCTTGATGGTGCTGAGGGAGGTGACTCAGATGGTGGTGGTGTAGGAGGGTCTGGGACTCCCTGGCTTGTGCTGATGGAGGGCGGGTGTTTTGTCTGCACTCTGAGACTGTGCTCTTGTGCATCGCAGGCCCTGAAAACCAGGATCAGCAACCTCCCTACGGTGAAGAAGTTTCTGCAGCCTGGCAGTCAGAGGAAGCCTCCCCTAGATGAGAAAGCATTGGAACAGGCCAGGAAGATTTTCAAGATTTAAATAAAGCAGACGTGGACACCCGGCATGCGCAGGATCAATCTTCTGAAAATTTCAACAGTGAAGTGCTCTACTGAAATTTAAACCTTGGCTGTCACGAGAATAATAAGGTTTTTCCAAGTAATTAAATAATAAATGCCTATGAGCAGATTTAGTTACAATTTATTCTTGTTCATTAAGATCCAATATGAAATCAGATTTTCAATCTTCTGTTGTGTCCCTTTTGGAATTAAAAAATTAAATTAAAAAGGGAATCAAATTATGAGGACTGTGTAATCTTTTCCAGAAATTGTCACATAACATCTGTCACAGACCCTATCAAGGAGTCAAATGTAAATATTTATATCTGACACTCTCAGATATTAACAGGGAATTGCTAACTTTTGGGGTAATGGCATAGAGAAATTTTTTTTCTTCAGGAGCCATTTTCCTTCTGACAATAAAAATGTTTTTGTTATTAATTTTTCTCCTGTGCAGTACAACAGCTGTATGCCTACCCTGAACTCTTTGGTGTTCTAGGACTCGAGGAAGCAACAAAGAGTGAAAACAGGCCCAAGCTCTGCTCTCTGGTCACCCACTGTCCCTTACGGTCCATGATGGACCTGGCACCTCATTGCTCTGCTGCTTAATGCCCCGGGGGCACCCTGGTTGAACTTCCCCTCGGTGTATTCAATGTTGTTCAGAACTGGACTTTCAAGATTCAGATTATACGTATAAATTATATGTAAATGATTATATAGCAAACCACATTTCTCTGGCCTGTCACTGGGCAGAGTGGCTGGATTAGGAGTGATTTCTAGCATTAGCCATATTTGGGGCTAATAATTAACACCCTCCCAGAAAGTCTGGACTTTGGCCTATTGATTTCTTATTCCTTAGAGTGAGCTTCCCCATGGTGTAGGGTGGGGAGCTGACAAACACTCGGGGCTCCCTGGCTGCAGCGTCACCTCTATCTGGTCTGCTGTCTACTTGCAACCAGAATGGTTTCCCTAAAATGAACACTCCTAGAAGGAGTATCACCACCTTCTTTAACTCCTTCAGCTACTAGACTACCATGCTGGCCGGGGTGCCTCCTCACGTAGCTCTTCACAGCTTCTACCCACCTGCCTGTGCTTCACTCCTTACCTCAGTTGCTCCCTGGGGAGAGTTGGGCTCTCCTCTGTGCCTCCCCTGGAGCCCTGTAAACCCCTGATAAAGCTGAATGCCTCCCCCACTGTCCTGTGAGGTCATAGTGTGTGGGCAGGGCCCCTCGCCATCCCCACTGCTCCACCACAAATGGTAATAATGTTGCTAGACAGTGACCAGCCCAGAAGGAGGTCCACCTTGAGCCAGCCTGTAGTGTGAGGGTTCTTGACTTTGTTCAGGAAAGATTTCACAACAAGTAAAGGAGTCCGTGTTCCTTTGCTTGATTACATCTGCAGAGACCCTTTCTTGAAGTATGGTCACATTTATAGGTTCCAGGCATTTGGACGTGGATCTATGTTTTCAGGAGGCCACCGTATCACCCCTACAGCGTAGAGACACAAGGAGATTGTTGGCAATTGCTGACAGGGGCATTGTTATATTGGCCTTTCTCTACTTTCTACTATTCTCTCTCTGTTTGTATTTGCTGGAAATTTTCCATTTAATTATTTTTTAAACTATTTATTTATTTATTATTTATTGAGTTCTGATTATGTGCCAGGCTCTGTGCCAGACAATGGGGACATGACTGAGAACAAAATGAAAACCTGTCCCCCAGGACTTCACAGACTATCGGGAAAATAGACATTAAACATATAATGTAAAAAACAGTCGTAGCTCAAAAGAGACAGTATTCCAAACAGAACAAATCACATATGCAAAGGCTCAGAGGATAGCAAGGCTGGTGGCTTGAGTGTGGCACAGAGGGAAATGTATACTGATTGGGTTGCCAGACTTGGCAGAGAAAACACAGGATGCCCAATTAAATGTGAATTTCAGATACACAATAAATAATTTTTTTGTATAAATATGTCCCATGTCTGCAGCTCCTGTTTACTTGGGTGTCCTGTATTTTATCTGCAACCCAACATAAAAAGTGTTCCATGATTGGCTTGCTTCACTGACATCAGCGCCCTGCGCTGCTCACAGTGGAGGTTTGTTACTACCGCAGCCCTTGCAACCAATTCATGAAAACCTCACCGTGAGCTTCTTCCAAAAGCCATGTCCACCTCCCTGGCAGAGAGCCCAACAATATGAAATCCTTTGCTTAATCTTTTACTTGCTGACCTTGACAAGGAACATATTAACCAGTTGTTTCATGGTATGAGGAAAGATGACTTGCCATTTTTTTTTTCTAATTTGGCATGGGACCTCCTGACCCTGACCACCATGGGAGTGGATTTTCCCTATCTGGAAGTTACGCTTTTCAGAGAGGAGGAGTCATTCGGTTATAAAAACAGCTGTTAAACACATGAGGACTTGGCATTGTGTTGCTGAGCAACTGGGAAGCAGGCTTTAATAAGGTAAGTTCTGATTTTATAAACCTTCATACAATGCCTCACATTCTCACATCTTAGTCACCAAAAAAAAAAAGGAAATTTTTCAAAATATGTCCTTAGCACAAGTAAATGTTTGTTTTCTACTCATACTGTACATCTTCTGTGTGCTTACGGGACAGCTCACGAGTTGCCATCGATATGTCTGTATGAAAAAGTAAAAGTGAAGAATTTAGCAAACTAGGGCACCAGCATTGTGATGTGAGGAAAATTAATATGAGGAGAAAATGTTACTATTATTTTAGGTAGTCTGAGAATGTGACCAGTGCAAGCGAGAGTGTAGGTGTTCATGTTGAAGTTACTTTCTCTACCGAAGAAGTCAACACACACAGTTGTGAGTGGTAACACTGTAATCCGATAGATAGAGGCTGTGAAAACTCAAAATTGAAATTTATTATAACAGGATGAAATCACTCTAAATGTCAGGGGGAACCAGATTGTATTCATTCTCAGCCGTGCTCAGCTAACTGAGCAGTCCTGCTCTCTCTCCAGGGCTCACAGCAGGTCCAGCAAATGGCCGGAGCGGGTTTCTCACTGGCACTGTTGATGAGTTGGGCTGGGCAATTTGTTCCAGTGGGGAGCTGTCCTGTCCACTGGCTGTCTATCTGTCTGTCTGTCTGTTAAAAATATTTGTTATAGAAATGTGCATTTAATTGGTTTTAAGGGCTATACTGGACAATAGTGTTAACATATATTTCCTCAAGTTTTAAAAATTTACAGCTTTCAGATATTGACAATAATTATTTGTTTACAAGTTTTACAAGAAATCATCCCTTCACACTCTGTGGACAGAGTTTCCCATCACTTTACTCTGCACTTGTAGGAAGAACACACAGGAGGGAAAAAGTTCCATTCTAGTTCTATTTATAGTCTGTGGAGTTGAATGACAGGTGTGAATGGATAGAGAAGTAGTGTCTTTTCAAAACGACTTTATCCTGGAAAGATTACATAGATCTAATAGCCAGGTGCAATCAACTATATGGTATCTCCAACTAAATAGCCAAAAAAATGTGTCAGTTAGGACAACATGGTTGATGAATAAAAGCTAGTTAACATGCAGAATGATTAGAGGTGGATAAAATCTTATTTGTGCTGGAGCTTTGAGTCGAGAGATAGAGAGATGACAGACAGATAGATGGATGGATTGACAGACAGAAGAAAGAAGACACACGTGCTACCCAATGTGTTCAGAGCCTTACCTGTCTCCCAGAAACTGGGAACAGGAGGGGACATGCATTTGCTGATTCCTGTGATGACTTTTATGTAGAACATCATGTTTAACTGTCTCAAAATCCTTCAAGTTACATATACCTATCTCCATTTTTAGAAGAGAAAATTGGGGTGCAAATATTAAACAATCCGGCCACGTTTATGAACCTCATAAGGAAAGGAACTGGGCTTTGTCTCTAAGTCTCTCATCTCTCTGCTAAGAAACACCGTGATGAGGACCACCCCCAGAGACTTAACTCCTTAAGTTTATGATGGAACTATCATAGGATATATTCCTTTCAAGGGATATAAACCTACTTCATTAGTAAGGTAAAATATAGTTATGCTAGTTCTCAATTTACTCACAGGTTTTTAGGGTATCAGTGTAAAGCTAGGCATGCACTTACTAATATTTCTTCTTGTCAAGCCACTAAAAATCAGGTAACAGAAAGGAACTTGTGAATTCAATGTCTCTCTCTCCCTCCCCTTTAACCATTGGTTGGCTAATGGATTCTGAATGAGCCAGTGAACAAGGGCCTCAGAGAGAAGCACAGAGCCTGCTGACGTGTTCCATGGTGGAGTGAAAGGCCCCAGACCTGAAACCAGATGAGCTCAAACTAACCTAATGTTCGCAAAACATAAGCACATAGGAGAGGCGCTTTATCTCTCCGAAATTCAGTTTCCACATCTTTAAAGTAGGGTATTAAAAGCTGTTTCCTAGGGTTGTTGCAGAGGCAGACACACTTGCTAGATACTCAGTGAGAATCAGAAACAAACACGTGACCTCTGGCACATTGTTGCGTCTCTCGGGTTCTCATTTTTTGTTGACCAAAGTGCAATGATAGCATCTGGCCCAGTCTTGACCAGGACATTGGGGACCTCCTACTTGGAAGGTGAAGAAAGTTGCTTTTGAGGAGGAGCTTAATGATAAAATGTTACATAAGGTAGAAATTATTTCCCTTTGTAACTTGATCCTCTATCAACAGAGTAAGGGAGCTCAATGACAGGATTTGTTTGAGTCACTAAGCTCTGTAAATTCTAGCCCACAACAAACACGTTTCAGAGCTAGTGCAAACTTTATTCCCCTTTCCATTCTGCTGAATCATAGCATCTCCATTTCCCATGATAAGAAAGAATAATATACAAAATCTCCACTTACAAAACAGGTTGATTAAGTGTGTTTCTAAAAGATTCTTTATTTTCTTCTTTTTTAAAAATCCTCATTCAAGGACATGCTTATTGGTTTTAGAGAGAGGAAAAAGAAGGGCAAAGAGAGGGAAAGCAACATCAATCCGTTGCCTCTCGTACACGCCCTGCCTAGGGACTGAACCGACAGCCTAGGCACGTGCTCAGACTGGAATCGAACCAGTGACCTTTCTGTGTGTGGTATGATGCTCCAACCAACTGAGCCACAACAGTCAGGGCAAAGACTC